GAGAATTTAGAATTGCTTTCAATTGCTAAGTAACTACTTTACCATTGAGTATTCAAGAAATTCTACTGCATAAAATTCAATCAAACCTTTAAATAGCTTTTCAGGTATCAATCGAGGCGAAAAAAAAGTTTACCGAGGAAGGCCTTTCGTAAATAGTTTGTGTAATTGATCAATTGGAACTGTTTTATTACAGACCCCAGGGAGATCTATCTGTCCAGATGCCTTGAGATCATCGTTGCTCATCATAACAAGGTAGCAATAATGACTCTACAGCCGTTTACAAAAGAACAGTTAAATTACTTCAAGTTCGCTTTTGTCGTGGTCAATGAATTTCCAAAGGCATTACGTCAAACCTTCAAAACCAGATGGGACAACGCCTTTGGACATCTTCCTGGTTTCCAGCCCTGGGATGACTTTGATACCAAAGCAAAGCATTAGTGTTTTATGATTGGGAAACCCGGTGTAAAAAGCAATGTCTTAGTTCTTATCTTTGAACTGATTAATGTCAAATCTAAGTAGTCCCGTTTGGGTGGCAAAATTTACTTTTACCGCTTCATAACATTCAGTTTGCAAAGATTCGTCTTTGTTACATACTCGTTCCGTTTGCATATCTTGATCACTTCTGAGCAGCACATCCTCCGTCTGACACAGATCACTTTCTGGCGAAGGGTCTTCGTAATGGACTTTCTTTACAATTTTTTCGAAAGAAACACGCTTTAAAATACGTCGAGTTTCCACATGCTTAGACCATAGAAAAATCGAAGGTAAATGAAGCCTGCTGCGCTCATGTCCACCCTCAAAGTGATCTCCACAACTACGTGTATTATCGGCATCGATATTTAATGTTGCTCTACGAATTAGAATTTTGTACTGTTTTCGTAATTTTTTGTCCTTTGGAATTCGGTAATGCGAAAGCTCATCCTTGGTTCTGTAATTATTCGTACATCCAGGAACACAACAATTAGCATGCTTTACCATTTTTTTCTTTAGCGTTTTGCGAAAACTTTCCTCGCTACCGCCATTTTGAAGTTTTGCGCGTCCACCCAAACGATCCCAGACGACCCTATGAGTTAAGTTCGTGCCCAGATTCCCAATAGTTTCTGGAGTAGGGAATTCGACATAAGTGTCTTGAATTTCGCGTAAACGTGAAAGAGTTTTGGATATTATTCGTGATGCGTGAAAAAAAGGCCAAATGTTTTTTACGTGACTGAGTTCTACAAACGGGTGTATGGGACCCTATACACCGAATTAAAATATTGTGCATGACATTGCAATATTTTTTGTTATAATTTTAGAATTACATCTTCAGAAACTATTTCATAGACAGGTAAAAACGAACGATATAATATCCCGACGTTTCGGCGACTTCATGACGCCATTATCAAGGAACGAATGTAAATAAAATTAACCATTGCGAGTTCAAGAGTTACAACTAATTTGCATAGGAGAGGTAGCTACACAAATACTTTAGCACGGATAGAATCCGTTTGCACGTTCAAACTCGGTGTTAATTGTTTGATGTAAAGCATCTCGTTGACAAGACAATCGAATTTGTTCATGCACTTCTTGAGAACTTTGAAACAGCTAAGAAGGTCCTCAGGGACAGCACCTGCGTGGTCGTTGTCGTAGTGCTTGCGTACTGAAGATGACGTGCTCTTATGGCTATCCACGCGGGCATATAAATGCCCACGTGTGTAACCAACATAGCTCCCTGTATCGCACAGGTTACATTTAAATTGGTACACTACGCACTGTTGATTAACCAGTTGGTAATGGCGTCATGAAGTCGCCGAAACGTCGGGATATTATATCGCTCGTTTTTACCTGTCTACGTATTACTAAATCTTTCTTAATAAGAACTAAGTAGGCTGATTAATCGATTCTTTATCTGGCAGTCGTCGTTTCATCAGAAGTCATAATGTTCTAAAGAGGCCGCAATAATTTTAAACTAAACAAACCTTGATAGGTATTGTTAAGTCATCGATTTTATTCATTTTAGGTAATAAAATTGCACATATCTCCCTTGTCAATATTGACGGATTAAATCAGGTGAAATCTCCCGGAAAAAACGTTGTAAAGATAATTTGGTCGGTGTGAAGGCGTTTTACAGCTTGACAAAACGCATCGTTCCAAACTCCTCCAAGGAATAAACGGGACTTTAAAAGCTGTTCAAGTGACTTATTTTCAGTAAACGTTTATTTTTGTGTCCAAAGCACGTAATGTTTACAGATCTATGTAGGTGGTATGTGCGGATGCTGATGTGCTTCTTTCATGTTTATGTACGTGCACCTCTGAATGCT